TGCTGAAGTGTTTGTACAGTAGGGCTGCGATGGCTATCCGAGAACAAAACCAGAGTACGAAACCTATCCAATTGCAGAAGGTGTAAGACAGGTTGACGTTATATCCCCGAAACTCTTCACCGCTGTATTGGAAGACGTTTTCAACCTACTGAACTGAAAAGGATACGGTATTAACATCAATGGCGAGTACATTACTTACCTTCGATTTGCCGACGATGTAGTCCTTATGGCAGAATTGCTGGATAACCTAAGAATTATGCTCAATGACATCAATAGTACCTCTCAACGGATAGGTCTTAAGATAAACATGGACAAACAAAGATCATGCGTAATGTCCATGTCACACCAAGCCGGTAGTTGTTGGGAGCACTATGCTCGAAGTTGTTGATGAGTACGCTTACCTGGGACAAATAGTCCGACTACGTAAGTCCAATTTAGACCTAAGGTCAATCGACGGATTCAACTCGGCTGGGCAGCGTTTGGGAAATTACGACACATCTTCTCGTCAGCTATACCTAAAAACCTGAAAACGAGTCTGTACAACCAGTGCATGTAGCAAGTGATGACCTATGGAACTGAGACGTGGTCCCTTACTGCTAGCCAAATGAGGACGCTCAAAGTCGCTCAGTAAGCTATGGAGAGGGCTACGCTCGGGGTTTCTCTGCGTGATAAACTAAGAAATGAGGATATCCGCAGCAGAACCGGAGTGACCGACGTAGCCCAACGTATTAATAAGCTGAAGTGGCAATGGGCCGGCCATATAGCTCGAAGACCGACCGACACCCGTTGGGGAAAAAAGGTTCTCGAGTGGCAGCTTCGTACCGGTAGGCGAAGTGTAGGGCGCCCCCCCACTAGATGGAGTGACGACCTGGTATGACATCTAGGAAGTCGATGGATGCAGGTGGCTCAGGACCGTGCTTTGTGGCATATTTTTGGGTAGGCCTATGTTCAGCAGTGAACTTATGAAGGGCTGTAATGATGAAGATGATGATACAAGTTTTTGGTTTAAATAAACCTCAAGTTAACTAAAAAATAAATATTTGTAATAAAGTGATTGTGGGGGACTAAAAATAAGTAAATAAATACATTTCTACCATTTTTAGAATTGTCTGCCTGTATTGTATTATATATTATATCTGTATTGTACCTATACAGTCTATTTCTGCATTTGTTTTAAATTGCATCACCACAGCATTTTCTCAGTCACATTGAACAAATCGCCCCCTCGCTTTTGGCGAAAGGAGTTATGGAGAATGGATCGTACCTTTGTGTGCAGTATTAAGGTTTTAGAGTTAGGTTTATAAAGAAGAAGAAGTATGTACTTACTATTTCGTGTACAAGTTTAAATAAATAAAAGAATGGATGTGGTATGTCTTATATTTTATTATAAACAAAGTTTCAGATACAAAAATAAGATCTTAGTATGTATGTACATTTCAAATTACAAAACAGTCCACAGTCATCCCGCATACAAGTGGAATGTTACTTCTCTGACTATTGTAATAACTTGTCCTACGTCTTAGTTATTAAAGTTAAAAGTAAGAAGTCTTGAAAATTTAAAGCTATATATGAGCTTTATGAAGTTATAATGATTATACAATGCATATATAAAAATTACAGTGGATATAGAATATTTTGTAGAAAATAAATAATACTTGTAATACAAAATTGAGCAAGTTTTACTTCTTTTATTTTCATTTTGAATCTCGTTTAAAAATTGGCCAGTACTTCCCAAGGTGTAATTTTAAACTTACATTTATATCACAAATAAGAATTAGTTCTTATTATATAATACACTTACTGGGTATTTTTGTTGCCATATCCCATTTGCAATAAATAACCAATAATGTATATTAATTATCATGGAGTATAGAGGTAACACTCCATATTTATTATGAAAATATTTTTTCTAATATTGCGACTAGTCTACAAACGGTATACAACTTAACCCTTAAATGTCTAAACGGTGTTTACACCGTTTAAAATTATAAAATCTATTTAAGTACTTAGAAAAAATATCCTATTCTAATAACAATTTTGGCATAATCATACATAGCCGTGTATGTAACATAATAGAATTAATTTTAGTATTTAATTATAAAAGCCATAATAAAATTTTGCTATAACGCAAAATTAAGGCATGGTTGTAAGCTGTTGTGAAGTTGGCAAGATGAAAAACTACAGTTTATACAACTGATGATTGTAAATTTTATCAATTTAGTACGGTAAATACTTAAAAAATCGAAGGAGGTAGGTAAAAAAATTTGAAGGTTACCATTTGTCAATGTTGAGTTATTCGACGGAAATTGTAAACAATAATATTACCATGATACTGACTCATGAAATAATTGTAATTAATATTTTCGATCACATGAACTGAATAAATTAAAAGCTATTTGGTAACAGATTTGAATTAAAATCACTTAATATTAAGTCCAGAGGTATTTATTCACGTTCGCTTAAACTCATTTAGCAAACACAGGAGAAGGTAAGACAGTGACGTATTGCCGACACTACCATAGAGCTAACGGATAAATCGTTTCTGATACGGACCGGGGAGGGCACTGTTAGAAAGAGAAAGTTAATACTATATAATTTAAAGTGGTCTTAGAAAATATGTATTAATATATGTGGTACATAGTTTTAGCTAAATTCATATTACAATATGTATTTATACATGCGCACAAAATATAGGCCCACTTTTATTTTATAAAACTTGGGCCCTCCCTATCTCCTATATTAATATCTATTTTATTATATCCTCCACAATAAACGCAAATAAAACATTGCGTTACCTAATCCTCCACCGAATGTCAGATGAAATGGAACATAAAATATATTGGTAAGTGACAGAAAGTGAATACTTTCCCCTAACAAAACAGTTAACAAATTCGATTGCTTTGTGTTAAGAAATATGTATTTTATATACATCAGTTAAAAAATGCTAGTTTGTAAACCTGACTGCCCCAGATGTTGTGTAATGTTAAGAGAAATACATGTCATTCATTTATCAACAAATATATCATGATAATAAAACTATATTTTATAATAATTAAAATCTAAACACAAAAATCGTTACAGATTGAATCAAAAATATACAAATATACACAGTCAAATGAACGGACTTATTTTTAATCTGTAACAAGGTTCCATAAATGGAAATCGTCCCATATATTTCACCAATTTTACTAATATTACGACTTATAAATTTATGGTGAGCAATTTGTTTCTAATTCTATAAGAGATTTCCAAATATAATGGAAATTTCAGTCAACGACATAACCTTACACTATTGTGTAAAGTTGGTGTGAAGCCCTGAAACCGTTTTCCAAATAAGTACTTACATCTTAACTACAATATAAAAAAACTTAGGTCAACAAAGAAAGATAGACGGACCGCTGTGTACATATCAAGTGAAGCCGAAAATGTGCTTAACTTCTTGACACGCACTCATCTTTCTTATTTATTTATCGGCTGTTAAAAAGTCACTGCTGAACGCACACAATTTACTTAGGTGTTCGTGAGTGCGTGTTTTTAATTTTTACAATAAGTTGTGCATAGTTTTTGCATCACTTGAAACGTATGCAGCATCTATCTTTCTTTGTTGCCCTGAGATAAAACGTTGTTTTTTATGTTTTCTCTGTCAAACAAACAAAAATTATAATAGAAATTGAAGCTTCAATTTTGTTATTTTTCCCATTTATGTAATATGCACTACTTGCTAAGTACAATAAACTTCAATAGTTTTCTTCGTAAAGGCCGTACGGATAAAGAATGGGATTAAATATGGCGAATCATCGACCTTGTACCGTTAACATGCACAGCAGCAATAACGAAAACCCGTTAATAACGGTATATCTCTATAATATTATATTATTTAGTTAATTGGAAATTTTCTATTAATGGGAAAATATTTGAAAAGAATTGTATACGCAAGGTTTGCCTATTATTTAGACTTAAGATAATCATTAAATTCCATTTATTTTATCTTTTCAATATTTCTATTTTAATTAAATTATATATTTATATTGGTTCAGCCATTCCGAAGATTTTTTAAACTATTAGTTATTTCTCAATGGCAAAAGTAAATTTAAATATCATTAAATTATGAAGAAAAATCAGAACACATCGTAGCTCACAAATAAGCAAAACTGGACTGATTTTTTGTGGTTTATTGCATTTTGTTATTATTAATTCCAATTACAAATGTTGGACTGAAGTTATAGAACGTACGAAAAACCCATATCGCAATGTATATTTTTTGCAGTCTTTACCGGCGGGTTTGAGTATAGATAGCGACAGTGCGTGAGGGAGAGGCGGCGCCATTTTCAATCCCATTCTTTAACCGAACGAGTTTTCACACATATTATGCACGCCTTTGCTTGGCATTGCGTTCTAATTAATACTATTTTCTCTTGTGTACTAACTTTTAGTGCGTCGTGTAAGATGTGTCAAAACCAAATTGAATTGCATGTTTTATTTTTCTTGAAATAAATAAATTAATAATCCTACATTGACCGTGAGGTAGCGATGTCAGGATATATTATTGTTTTGAGGGTCGAACGCGAACACGTTGCGTCCTGTCTTACTTACACACAACTTATACACTGAACTAAACTCGCTCGCTCACACGAGCGGCTAGTTTGGTTGTGGGTGGCGGGAAACGCGCGAGAGGGCAACACTTCGAACTTAACTCGCCAAAAAAGAGACCGGCCGGCTATCCCGTTCAACTTAATTGTTAACTTACTACTTAACTCAGTAATTACCGATCAAACGAGATTATCTACTTAACTCGCCAGGTTTGCAAATTAAATCGCTACTGTACTTGTCGAAGTGTAAATCGGTTTTTAGAGTGTAAACCTGTCAGTAAACCCAATCCTACTTTTATGTTAAGCGTATAGAGTAATAGAGTAAGTATATAAGAGTCTTTTAAAAAAGTACAATTAACATACTATGGAAAACGGTCTACAAGGAGCAATAAAAAACATCAAAACATTATTTTAACTAAAATAACTATCAGGCATCTTAAAAACTCTACACCTTCTGTGTTCAGATAAAATAAATGTATTGTCAGATCTAATTAGAGACTCCCTCTCTGTATCACTAAAGTTTGTTTTGACGAAGTCACTCCTAACTCTCCCCTTGAGCTCGTCAAGGCTTTGGCTTTGTTCTGATCTGCTGACGAAGGTCAGCTCCTGGAGTTTCTCTTCACGGCTGCTGTGAGTTGACGAAGTATTTAACTGATCCAAGGGCTGGTACAAGTTATCTCTATGTGGCATCAGCTTATGAGAACCATGGATGATTAACGTGGAACCTCTACGTATTGTTTCTCTTCCCAGTTCCATTATTTCTATTGAGTTCTGTCCGATTACGAAATTCTTGTAGGCTTTCACGAAGACTGTTATTAATATTGACAGTCCTATTGCTATCATTGAGTAAGAAATCATCGGTGCTGCTATAGGTCCTACTGTCGTGGCGAGGAATATCCATCTCCAGATTGATGTAGTGACTTCATGAATGCCCTGAAATCAAGGTGTGTCGTGTATGTTTATTCATGTAGCTAAGCAACAGCCTATATATGTCCCACTGCTGGGCATAGGCCTCCCCTCATTTCTGACAGGGTATGTTTATCAATCTAGTAATATAAATTAAATTAACACATTATAGCTCGAAGAACCGACAACCGATGGGGAAGAAAGGTCCTCGAGTGGCAGCCTCGTACCGGCAGGCGAAGTGGAGGGCGTCCTCCTACTAGATGGAGTGACGACCTGGTACGACATGCAGGAAGTCGATGGATGCAGGTGGCTCAGGACCGTGCTTTGTTGCATTACTTGGGGGAGGCCTATGTTCAGCAGTGGACTTGTGAAGGACTGTAATGATGATGATGATGACGAGATTTTAATAATTATTTTTTAAAATTAAAAAGATTATGATTTCTTAAATTTACGCGAATACTACACACATTGAATAAAACTAAAATTACGGATTCTTTTAAAATTTTTTAAGTAGATCGGATCGAAAAATTAATATTGAAAAACTGAAGGTAGCCGGGCTAACAATGACATTGAGACGTCTAACATATTATCAGTCCCTCCCGTGACCATGGGTGCTGTAAAGCACCCGAAACGTCGGGAATTAAAAATAAGTAAAAGTAGTTAATTAAACGCGATAGAATCTGTAAATTTAGTTTTATTCAATTAAAATGATTTTTTACTATATAAGAGTTCTAAACGAATTAACGATTTGTTAACTGCAGCCTACGACCACCTGTTATTAATTTAAAATTTTCATACCAGAGAACCTATACGCTACTACACTCACCTTACGAAACACATCAGCTTCAAGCTGCTATTTTACGCTGGTGTTCTGTGAGAGCGTGGTCCTTTCCCGGTTGAGCCAATCCATTCGTGCAACGATCATAATATGGCTACAAACTCCCTCTCAAACCTTAGCAATTATCTCTCTCAAACCTGAATGAAGAAATTAGCTCGTCGCGCTGCTCTTCTAGATTTGCACATGTTCTCGAAACAATTTATTCCTTAGACATGCAGGTTTCGTCACTATGCTTACTTAATCTCCAAGCACATAAAAACAGCACTTAAATTTTCAATTCACATTCGGGATTTTATTTACCAGAAGCGCTTAGCCTATTAGCTGCCACGTAACTAGATAAAATAAAAAATAAAGGACTTTTATTGTTTGTAAGAGGATTCTAACGAGTACAGATAAGTGATCACCGTCGCCCATGAACATTCGCAACATCGAAAGAATTACTTATGCGTTGCCGGCTTTATAAAAGGGAGTAGGCTCCCTAAGTCACATCGGTCCGGAAAAACCGCTAAATTCCACAGTGTGGTAACCGTGGCGGATAAATGCGTGTGAAATGCACAGTAGTGGAGTTGATGAAGGTGATATTTCGAGTCCATCATAAACTACGCTGTTGGAATTCAGCAGCTTGGACTTATATTTGAATTTTCGTGTTGTAATAATGTGAAAAAATAATAAAAAAAAGCACGTAAAGCCAATGGTCCTGCGTCTGGTCTCTTTTTGGTAGCGTCGCATAACCGTCCCATCGGAATAGAGAATACACCTGTGCTTGCACACAATCGTGCACTATAATCCTGTCTTGGACAGAATGGCTGGTGTCCGTTGAGACTGGCCGCCACAACCAAAATTCGGTTTGGAAAACAATATTATATTATGTTATTAGGTATAATTATCTTACCTCTTCAACCCACATAATAGGGAACATCATGTCAGGGAACTTATGAATGTTGTTCACCTTGATATTGGGCGCTTGGTTCACCTTTAGGTTCATCTGCACCCTGACAAAGCCTTCAAGGGGCACGCCTAATTTCTATAAAAAATATATTTTCACGTTATCAATGGCTGAATAAACTGTACATATTTTATCCTAGAATTAAAGGTTTTTCAGTAAACCTTCTTGTACTATTATTTATTCTGTGTTCTGTGTTCATAAATATTAAATTCCTCAACGCAGCACACTTTACTCCGTCGACAACTGCTAAGTTCATTTCATACCCTCTAGCTACGCTAGCGCTGTTGTAGAGAGTTTTTGAAGTGTTATTTACTGTTTACAGATGGACACTTTTTCAACTATTCTCCTTACCTCTACACTCCATACGAGTAGTCATGACACTCTTTTGTGCTGTCATGCCCCCGTCATGTCACCGCTCTTGACTGCCTTGTGTGCGTGCGCGTATAATACTCGCACTAACTTCTCTGCTTCTCTGTCTGAGTTTTGTACCGCGTGTGTCTTTCTATTCTACTATTTTGTGATATACGAGTAAATAAAAAAATATACACTTGAAGCGTTCATCGCTTGTATACACGCTTTGTATTTCTTATTAGTATTAGATATTTATCTTACATTTTTTATTTACTTAACTAAATATTTCTTTATTGGTTTTCATTAATTATTAACTCTACCATCAACTATGATTTTTTTAATATTAGTAACAAACAAGTAACATTCAATTTATTTGAAATAATTTCTTTTGTTAAATTGATACATCTCTTTAATATAATATTAATAATTATATACTCACATCTTGTATATAAAAATATGTTTCATGTCGCTTCTTGTCCGGTTTTAGTCCCTCGAAAGGTGTTAGCAGAGAGGGATCCGCTTCGAAGAAGTGCGGGTAGGAAAGATAGACTGGGGCATCTGCAAGAGAGTTAACTTTTAAAGAAAGAAAAATATAATTACTACAAAATTACGAAATTGGTAGTATTCCACATAGATATTACTAAACAGAAATTTTTTAGTTGAACCCACTATGTAAGCAATCATAATACAAACAATATAATATATATTATAAAAATAAACAAATATATTTGGTTATAAGATGTTGCTCAACGCCACAAGTTCACTTGAGTCTGAGCAATTATTAAGTATTTTAATCTTTTGAAAGAGAATCCCACTGCCGACAAGGAAGCGATTAGCTTTGTACTATTTTCTCGCTCAAAAAATGAACAATGGATATCAGGCTGTTCACAGGCCCTTCATATTGCCGAGAACTTTCTCTACATTACTTTGTGGCAGCGGCAAAAGCTATCAAAGATAAAACACGCTCAGCGATGCTCGTTTAACGGTCAGAACTGACGACGAGAGATCAATCAGCGGTCATTTTACTCTACAGTATGGATTTAAGCCCACTCGCTCAAGGCCAGCCCAAATACTATCGGAACTACATACTCGTCTCTCGCTGCTCGCTAACTCTTATATAGTTTCTAGCTCTACTTATTTCTCGTTCATCGTTCGCGGTGGAATTAGTGCCTAAGATGTCTTTCACTACACCTGCGGGACGTAATATCTCGTAATATATCAGCATTATACAGTAAAAATAAAAATAGGACTAATCTAATGCAATTTAGGGACGTCTTATAGACGAGTGAACCACGTCTAGTGTCGAGGTTTCGTAAGAGCGACAGAGGAAAACGGTAACAGAAAATGGGAAGCGGCATCTTCCTGATAAAAATTCAAAATAATAAAAAACTGCGGTTGTCAATCAAGCGTGGCATCATGACAAAGCTCCCCTGGGACTTATAGACTTATGGAATGGAATGGAACAAACGGATATAATGCACAAAAAGTACAATAGAATTAAATAGAAACGATTCATTAGTTTAACAAAAAACATTGAAGATAGGTTATTATGTTTTATCCAATTTTATATTTTACAGAGTAAATGTAATTTAAGAATAATTAAGGTACCTGTGTGTGTAATAACACCTGTCGGCTAATAAGGCCTAAGTAACAAATTAATAACCCCTCTCGGAGACTCTTATTACACGATAATGTCTATACAAGTTTGCAGGGACGCGGTACCCCGCGTCCGCACTGCACCAATAAAAAAAGTCAGTCCAAATAAATCTTAGATATGTTTTGTAATAGACTTATTTGTAATAGGCATAGAATAAGCTATATAATATTGCAATTTTTATCTTTGTGAATAAACGCTTTGTTGATTTTGAAGATTTGAATAACGTATCGTCGTAATTTTTAATAAAATTTGATTCTATTAAATACTTGGTCGGCTTTTTATTAAGGCCTAGACTAAACACCATTTCACGATACGGATTATTATACTCCCTCTTTGTAAGTAGTTTTTGTGTTTTATAATGTATTTATATTACTTTAAAATGTTATAAATGCAAATAAATCGTACGTTTTTATTACTAAACGACCTGGTTTCAGCTGTCCAAACAGTGCAAAGATAAAGTGTGTCGAAGAATTAAGGCTTTGACATTAGAAATTATTGATGCTGCGCGTAAGCTCTCTGGGATCGTGTCAGATTACGATTTGATGATTGTGAGGGAATAGAGAGTGCACCTGTGCTTGCGCATACATTCGGACACTATAACACTGTAAGAAAAATTCGGTTGGAAGGACACTCAACTCGACTCAACTCAACCTAACATTCATTTCAACATGAAATACAACCGACACACTGATGATAATCACGAGGAGTGCGTTTGTTTGTTAGCTTGTGCATCATTATACCAATGACTAAGTGCTGTTAGGCGAGGAAAATTATATTTTTTTAGAACTTTAAGTCTTGATCGCTGAATTCATGTGATTATTGATAACAAACATTAAATATATTACGTATAGTTTGGATATATTTGAGTTCGTTAAAGCAGTAGCGTTTATTACCCTACCATAGTAAAATAACGCATACTAGCAAGGTTTTTAGAAATGTTCAACTATTTTTTTTTAAATTTATTTATTGCTGGAATGTAGTACATATGTATAATGTTTTTACATATGGTAAATGTGACAATTTTTCGTTCATACTTTATAGAAACTGTACTAAGCGAACGATTTTTATTAAAATCTGTAGATCAAATTGGATATTTGTCATTTTTTTTAGAATTCCCCTTAGCTAGGCCTTATTACCCGCAGGTACTATATTAGTTAGTACCATTGACATATTATATCACTTAGTACATTCGATTTGATAGGGGATTTAAGAATTCTATACTGTTAGTGAGTTATTATTGTAGCTTTATATATTACTAGCTGTGCCCCGCGGTTTCACCTGTGTGAACATATATCACATGTCCGAGCCGCGCGACATGACGTGACAGCTATTTCCAGCATTTTAGATAGCAATGCATAGAAAAATTGACAAAATTAATGGAGTACTATTGTCTATCTCGTTCCCCTTCCGGGGTGAGCGTGCGCACAGAAAAAAACCCGAAGCGCATTTTCTTCAGTTTTAAAGAAAACCGTACACGATACATGAAGTGTGAAAATATTTTTTTTAGGTAAGAGTCAAACGCAAGTATATCAATGTCATTTAATTATCTAATCACATAACTTTACTTACTATATTGACAGGGGCTAATATTTTGCAACCCTCTCGGAGGGCACTGCTCTCCCTCACAGTAGCATTTGTTGTCCGGATTGACTTCTGCGCATTCGAAGGTAGAGCTCGGCGGAGTGTAGAGACCAGCTTTTATACCTGCAGTAAACAAAATACTCCTAAATATTTTTGGTAACCACATTACCTTGATTGTTGTTCTAAGTATCAACAATACAGTACATTTTTATAGTAACTAAGTTTATTATTTATAGAGTACTGGTAACACTATTAACAGTACTAATATTAATAGCGCTACCAGTACTCGACTGCCTCGTTGGTTTAGTAGTGCGACTGATAATCATGAGGTCATGGGATCGAATCCCGGGTCAGACCAAAAACAATTATTGAGTTTATCCGTCAAGAAATTCTCAGTAGCTGCCCGGAGTCAGGAATTTGACGGTGTCTCTTCTCTCCCCCGTGCCTCGAAAAGCACGTAAATTCATTGGTTCTGCGCCTGATCTCCGTCCGGTCGTGTCGGCTTACTGTCCCATCGGATTATGAGAGTGAGGGAATAGAGAGTGCACCTGTGCTTGCGCATACACTTGGGCACTATAATCCTGTCCTGCGCCGATGGCTAGTCTCCGTTGAGGCTGGCCGCCGTGACTGAAATTCTGGAGGATTATGTACTAATATTCATGTTCATTACTCCACATTAGCTTAAATTGCTTGTGTTAGAAATAGTTTACGACAGTAGTCGACAATTAGAATCCATGACTTTCTAAGTTTGTCACCATACTCAAATTTCCACACTTCCATAGTAACCATAAGAGTTCTGACGATAAATGCATGCCATGCATTGGTGACGTAAGAGTATCTACTGCCCCATAAAATCCCATTTATTTCGTAAGAGCCGTCAGTGGAAAACTAAAACTGGAGATGGGCAGTAGCATCTTATTGAACAATTATAAAAAAAAACTATAATATAGGTAAAAATACAGTGGTTACCAACACATCCGCAAAGAGTAACGAAAATGCAACTACGAGTATATAATAATATAATTAAAAACTCTATAGTCACCAGTTTTAAAAATAAAAGTCATAATATGAGGCGTTTTATGGAGGGGTATATGTGCAGAAGTGGATTTGTGACGGGCCGTAATGAAGATAATGATGATCAATACTTCATGGCTTGCGGGCTATTAACATCAGAGTGACCTACGAGTTAACTAAATTGTCGATAAGTAACTGGCAGTCCATCGACACTTGCAACTTTATATTTATACGTGGTAGAGACACGCTGCAGCAATATTATGGCTGTAGCACGAATTCGTCGGCTCGACCGGGAAAGGATCACGCTCTCACAGAATACCAGCGTAAATTAGCAGCTTGATGCTGCTGTGTTTCGTATGGCGAGTGTAGAGAACAGGAGATCCATTTTACAGGAATCGAGGCATTCCATCTTAGACCTCAAGGGTGACAACACATCTGCATTTTGATTCTTAATCGAGGTTAAATGTAGATGTCTATGGGCCACACCATTCACTGTCCTCGTGGACTGTGTGCTCGTTTGTCATCCTTATCCTATTAAAAAACTAACTTTACACAAAGAACGCCACAGATGCGTTGTCATCACTGACAGTATGTTTTAGGCCCTCTTGCTTTTCCAAATGGAAATGGAAATGGAACTGGAAATGGAAAAGGCAAGAGGCCGCTCGCAGAGATGAACACTGCCCGGCGGGATATCTTTACTGCTCTACTAACGGCACCGTGAAGTTATATCTTAGCCTGTAACGGTCATGTAAAACTTCCCCTATGTCCCCGTTAGGCTCCCCTAAGGAATACCACAAAGCATGATTCTCAGCCACCTGAATTCATCAACTTTCTACATCTGTTAATAAGTCATCACTCCAACAATCGGAAGGTGGGGGGCGCCGTACACTTATTGTTTTTAAACGTTTACATTTACACTAACATCATTAAGCTAAATATTGCAACTTGCTAACCGTCTTTGTAGATGTCCTTCCTGTATTGCAGGGGCATTATCCTGCAAAGGTCCTTGTCGTACACGTAGACGGTGTCGGACTTCGTGACGGAGCGAGGCGGGAAGAACGATCCTTCTGATGCTCTGTGAATAGAAAGAAATATAAATTGTCGTGTAGTGGCGATATAAAAAATATTCACTATACCCTATCATCCCGTAGGTGTCGTGATAGGAAACAAATCAGGAGATGGACGGCAGCGTGTTTTTAATAACGACTAAAAATAAAAAAACGCGGTTGTAAACCGTGGCAACTATGGCAAAAATCCCTCCTATGAGGCAATCTATAGGAAAAGCCTATGTTCAGTAGTGGCCTTTAATATGCTGTAACGCGTTACCGTTACCGTAACGGATAATTTTTTACGCGATAGAGCATTTCTGCATGTTCTGCTTGTATTACAGTACGTAAAGTAGTATTTTGTATGTTAAGTGATAAGAGGTAGATCTTATTTTTGGTAACGGTGTTAACAATCTTAGTTCTCAGGGATAACAACATTTTTTCAATCGTTTTGATTATTAATCGGGGGTAAGTGTTGGTGTCTATGGGCAACATAATGCAATTAGTAAGGTACGTGAGGGTAATATATGGTCACCTTAAGCATTGCCGCCCTATGAAACCAAAGCTAGGAGAAGGACAGAGACAAAAACACAAAGTCTTAGTATAAATAATAGATATATTAAGAAAAAAAATTGCAAATTAGTTCTGGCAATAATTAGGAATTTAGGAACACTCCGAAAAATCAACCAAAAAAAACTACATATTTACTAAAATGTCAACTGTCAATGTGGCGTCGATAAAGCAGCGCCGTTTTGACCCTTTATTATTTGATTGACTGATGAAGAGCTACCGTATCACGGAGCCATCTATACAAACAAGGCTGTAGTTTTTGAGTTATAAGTCACGTATCAACTGAGATGGTTTGTCACACAAATGTTAAAGTATCGGTCAGTTAGAAGATATTAAATGAACTTAATAATAATCGATATGCTGTTAATTATTTAAAAAGGTTTTTTATATTATTCACGTGGAAAATTTTGTCTTTCGTTTTTAACACTGCTGACAATAGCGTTTTCAGTATGATTACATTAAAAAAATACGTGTGGCACTCGGTGACTGCCGCGGTAAAGCTATTGCATAGCATTTTTTATCAATTTATGCAATTATATTTATTTATTTATTTTATTTATGCAGTTAAGTCTTTGATATTAAATCAAGTTACACTTTTTGAGCGTGGTGACCGATAAGAAAACAATTTTTTTTCTCTTATTGAATAAATGAGAAGTTAATATTGTTTAAAATATTTTTAATATCTTACAATACATGTAGGTTATTCAGGAATTTTTATCATTGAGTTAGCAGCTAGTGTACACGCATACGTCCAGTCGCACGCACACAAACACCGTGCCGAAGTCTGCCGAGTGCCGAACTGTCGAATTGAAACGACGTTAGACGATGCACGGCTTTCAACGCCGTGCATCGTCTAACGTCGTTTTAGTTCGGCAGACTTCGGCACTCGGCAGACTTCGGCACGGTGTTTGTGTGCGTGTACACTAGCTGCTAACTCAATAATAAAAATTCCTAAATAACCTACATGTATTGTAAGATATTTTAGCGAGATAAATCGTCTATACAAATAAGTTCACAACACTGATAGTTAAAATGTTTAATTTAATACACAAGCAGGAGATATACAATTTAGCACAAACAAGCAGAAGATACACAAGCCAAGATAGAAGAGTTTATAATAAAAATACAGTCTAGAAAAAGCACAATCAATATTATCGTAATATTTAAAAGTCTATGGCGAGAACAATGGATTAGCGCAAGCGAGCAACATGCGTTCCGCGTCGTAGCGGTAGAACGACTGGTGAACGCGGTGCGCGGAGCGCGGACGCAGGCGATCCGTTTGCCAGCTGTGTTAACGGAATTCCGGGCGGCGCGTTCAACGCCCGGCTGTTGCTACGTGCATTGTGTTGAGAGTATATAGTGGTGTAATATATAGTCGTGTAAAAGTATTGTATATGTTGAGTGTGAGAGAGTATGCATGTGTGTATCTGTGTGGCATATGTGTGTGTATATAATGTAGGAAAGTAGCCTACATTCACTCCCCCCCAGAGGCCATCTTATGGTCGATAATAGTCCGGGAATCTAACACGGCGTCCAGACCTTGTAATTGGACCCGGATGGGACCCTTTAATATTCTCTGAGGAAGCGGCCTGAATGGGACTGTAGCTGCTACCGTCAGCTAAAATGTAAGCCGGTTTAAGTCTGTCGATTGAGACATTCATCTCTTTGCCTTTTACCAGGAGTTTAAATACCTTATCTCCTCTGGCGAGTACCTTGTGCGGACCTGAGTACGCAGGTTGCAAGCTCGTACGCGAAGCGTCTTCTCTTAAGAAGACGTGTTCAGTAGTTGCGAGATCCTTGTATACAAAAGTTTTTTCTTTTGTGTGGCGTGAAGCTGGGACAGGTTGCAAATGTTTAACAAAATTATGCAACCTGGCTGTAAAATCGGTTATATCCGACGTAACATTTATGGTGGGGTCAAAAAATTCACCAGGTAGCCTAAGTGGTTCTCCATATAGCAGTTCGGCAGACGAAGACTGCAAGTCTTCCTTAAATGCACTACGAATGCCAAGGAGAACTAAAGGTAAAGATTCAGTCCAATGTTCATCTGCATGGCACATGATCGCTGCCTTGAGCTGCCTGTGGAAACGCTCTATTAAACCGTTGCATGCCGGATGGTAAGCTGTTGTTCTTTTATGCTGGAACCCATTTATCTTCGATAAATATTGGAACAAAGCGGATTCGAACTGTCGACCGCGATCTGTAACAATGTCTACTGGACAGCCGTACCTAGCTATCCATCCAGACAGCAGTGCTTTGGCAACGGTTTCCGCAGTTATATCTACGATAGGTACGACCTCTGGCCATCGTGTAAAGCGATCGACTGCAGTGAGGCAGTATCGAAAGCCTTGCGATGGAGGCAGAGGCCCCACAAGATCGATGTGGACGTGCTTGAACCTTGCACGCGGTAGGTTATATGTCCCTAAAGGCGCAGATACGTGTCGCGTCACTTTGGCACGTTGGCAAGCCAAGCAGGCACGTGACCACTCTCTGCAGTCCTTCCTGATGCTAGGCCACACAAAACGCTCTGCAACTAGTTTTGCTGTAGCGTTCGCGCCTGGATGGCTCAAAGAATGCAGACTTTCCAAAACTTGTCTGCGCAGCCCTTTAGGGACAAATGGTCTGGGAGTCGGTGTACTGACATCGCAGTACATGCATGTCCTACTCCCAGGAATGTCATACTTCTCTAAGCGAAGGGACGATCCACCTTTGAGAAGTTCAGCCAGTTCGAGATCTGATGCTTGAGCTTCGGCCAATGTACTGAGATTGACGGGCGCTTGCAGTTCTTCAATTCGAGATAAGGCATCGGCAACAACATTGTCTTTACCAGATATGTGCCTTATGTCGGTCGTGAACTGTGCAATGTAGTCTAGATGTCTATACTGCCTAGGCGAACAGTTGCCTTTCCTCTCGCGGAAAGCAAAACTGATAGGCTTGTGGTCGGTATAGACAATAAAATGTCTCGCCTCTAACATATGCCGAAAATACTTAATGGCCTCATAGATGGCAAGAAGCTCTCTATCGTATGGCGAATATTTTTGCTGCGCAGAACTCATTTTGCGGGAGAAAAACGCAAGCGGTTGCCACGTGCCGTCTTTGTACTGCTGCAATACCGCACCCAAAGCTATATCTGAGGCGTCAGTAACAAGAGCGAGCTTGGAATGTGTGTCAGGGTGAGCTAGTAAAGCTGCTTCAGATAGGCTTAGCTTACAATCGTCAAAAGCCTTACTAGCTTCTCCGGTTAAATTTATTGGTTGTGAACCTTTTGTGGCTCCTACAAGCAATGCATTTAAGGGAGCTTGAATGCGCGCAGCGTTAGGCAAAAATCGCCGGTAGAAATTTATCATGCCCAGAAATCTTCTGAGCTGGCGAACGTTTTTGGGCGAAGGAAAATCTTTAATCGCCTGAACTTTCTCCTGGAGAGGCTTAATACCATTGGCGGAAATTTTATAACCCAAAAATGTTACTTCAGACGCACCGAAAACACATTTAGAGGTGTTGATCAACATCCCATACTCCTTCAGTCGGTTAAATATCTGGCGTAAATGCTCCTCGTGCTCCGACTCGCTCCTCGAGAATATTAAAAAGTCATCCAGGTAACAATAACAAAAATCTAAACCACGCGTGACCTCATCAACGAACCTTTGGAAGGTTTGACTTCCATTACGCAAACCGTAATTCATATACTTAAATTCGTATAAACCAAATGGTGTAGTAATCGCGGTTTTAGGTATGTCTAATTCACTGACAGGTATCTGATTATAGGCCTTAACAAGGTCTAAGGTAGTAAATATGTTACATCCAGCGATGCTATGAGTAAAGTCATGGATGTGAACCTTATGGGATACCTATCAGGAATAGTCCTAGCATTAAGCAACCTATAATCGCCACAGGGTCGCCAGCCATTCTCTTTTTTGGGAACTAAATGTAAGGGAGAGGCCCATGAACTCTCTGATGGTCTGATGATACCGCTAGCAAGCATTGACTCGAATTCTTGTTTCGCGATTTTTAATTTATCCGGGGCAAGACGTCTGGGAGAGCATGAAATAGGAGGACCTGGTGTAGTGCGAATGTGATGTACGGTGTTATGTGGAATGTTACGTTGCATCCCAGCCGGACGTGTTATTTCTGGAAAATCGGCTAGAATATCATGGTACCTCGTGTCACCAGTCGCAACCTTAACGGACGAAACAGCATCTAAATTTTTAACATACAAAGCATTGACAGAAACAGTTGTGGTATTATCTACAAGGCGGTGATTACGACAATCTATAATTAAATTATAAAAAGAGAGAAAGTCTACACCAATAATAGCCTTTGTTACATCGGCAACTACAAAACGCCATTTAAAGTCTCTACGAAGGCCAAGATCAAGAATAAGGTGTACATAACCATACGTGTTGATGACACTCCCGTTGGCTGCACAGAGTTGGTAGGTGGTCTTCGTACGCCGCTCAGG